ATGATGCATAGGCCTGAGTCCATGTTCTTCAATCTTAAACTTCTTTAAGAGAGTAAGTTACCCTATTGGCAAGTAATATCAGGAAAGATTCTCTAGCCTATAGTCTGAATGTTTCATTCCCTTATTTATTTATCAATGTGTTCAATACTAACTTTTTTTTGCCTGGAGAAAAGAAAGCACTATGTGGGGTATTTTATTTATTTGTGGTCTCTGATATTACATTACTTTAAACTGGTAATTCAAACTCTGGATCTTGGGGTTCATAAATGGGGTTCAAGTCATCCAAAACCCTCTTGAAGTCAATAAAGTTTTAAAGGATATGTGACTCATTTTTAAAAAGTCATTTTTTGTGTTTTCATATGAAATAGAGGATAAAATTAAGAATCACTTTCAGTTTCCCCTAAGACTGTGATTCAATAAGTCACCTTTAAAAAATTTTTTAGTACATATCCATCAGAGACCTTATCAGCAGTGGAGCACTGACTCCATTAAAAACTAGAGAGTAAACCTTTTATGTAATGGCAAATCCATTGTTCTTACAAGCTATACATTCTATAACCAAGGTAATATCAAAATATATTATGAGTGCATTTCCACTGTAAATACTTTGAATTTTAAAACTCTCATTCAAATCTCTATGTTTTGATTAATTTTTAGTATTTCCTCCTGTCTTTGGTGTTCTGCAATTTAAACGGTATGTTTAAATGGGTTTATTTTTCTGTTTTACAGTAATATTGGTATACTTCATGAACATGAAAATTCATTATTTCTGGAAAATCCTCACCCATTATCTATTCAAGTGTTGCCTCTTCCACTTCTACACGTTATCTTTTCCTGGAATTCTTACCTTCTAGCTCCATTACTCTTAACAATGTTCATATAAAATATTTTTTATGTCTCTGCATTTTGGGTATTATCAATTATGCTCTAATCTGCATTTAACTCTTCCATTGAATTTTTGTAAGAATTGTATTTTTTACTTATAGATGTTCTATTTGTGCTTTTCTTTAAAAATGTCATTTTTTTCTTAAGGTTTGATTTCTTGTTTTATATTGTCAATATTTATACATACTTTTAAATATTCTTTTTCATGTTGTTGATTATCTCAACTTTTTAAAAAATCCACTCACTACTGCATGTCTTACATTGCCTCTCACTCATGGATCGTATCATCCACTGACTCTCACTCTTGGTTGACTATTTCCTTGTGTGTTTTGTTATTCATTATAGCAAGCATATCTTTAGCAGGACTTGCTTTCTTCTTGAAAAGCCTAGGCAATCTAGACGCTTGGTACTAGTCTTTCATAATGATTTTATGTTTTACTCTTATAGGAGCCTCAGGAGTATTTTCTAGGTTGAGAATTTCTAGGCTAGTTAGGTAGGATATAAAAACAAAAATCCCAAAAACGATATTCTCAAGGGGGAGAGTTCTTCTTACTAATAAAATTTCCTGTTCTCACTCTATGCTGTTGGGCATATATTTCTAGCCTACATTTTTATTTAATGGTTTTATGCAGGGGACAGAGATATCTCAGTTCCAGCTCTCTGCCTCATCTGGCACCAAGAGTTTGCCTTCTTTCTGTCTCATATGGACATTAGATTCCAGGCTCCTTGGTCACTGAGATGCATAACTCATAGGACAACCACATCATCACTTCACAATCTTTGTCTTTGTTCTTAGCACATGGTAGATTACCCTTTTATTTTTCACAAAATTGGGAAATGTTTTAAAATCATTTAAAATCTTTTATTCAGTACTGCTAGGTGTCTGTAACCATAAATTTTTCAGATTGTCTTAGTCAACTGCCTTGCCAGTGCTTTAGTTTACAGTTTACTGTTTCATTATTCATAATTAATCAATTACTCCTTCCCAAGTAGGAAGTTTAGTTGGACTGTGTTTCCAGATCCTGAGATTTTAGAACTGCTTAACTTTTTTTAATGTCTGGGATTCTTCCCCAAGTTCAGAAGTGATGAACTATAGACATATCTTTAAAGTTCTAAATAAAGGAAATCTGAAATGCCTCCTGGGACCTTGGCAGGACATGGGCCTTTCTTGCTAATCACCATTACAAATTGATAACAATAGAGTGTATTAATTGATTTGCTATTGAACGTTGAAGAAAGAGAAAATCTGAGTCATTTTCTTCTGAACACCATTTCAGTTTGTTACTACTTTAACAATTAAGGCCTTATAACACATAATTGCTCACAAATAAGATAATTTACCACAATTTTCAGCAGTAAAAGCCCCGTAAATATATGTAAAATCTTTCTAAATAAGAAAACTGAAAGAGAAATTTTTGGCAAGAGTCATATAATTCATTCCACAGAAATGACAACTTACAAAGACTTGGAATCTCATAAGGGAAAATCTCAGTGATTTGAGAAAATGGCAATACTCATATCTAAAATGTACTAGTGATTGCCACTTTCAGAAATGGTATACCCCCTACTCTGAAAAAAAAATGAAATTGTGTAACTCACAAGTCAAAAGCATATGGAAAAGTTGATTTCTACTCTACCAGAGGGAGTAATTTTCTTTAGCTCTTTCTTATACATCATAGGTGTGAAGTACTTTTGTTTATTGGTTGAAATTTTTCTGTTAGTTGATTATTCAACTGGAAAAAAATTAAAACCTTGTCAGAGAAAACAGTGGATGAAATGTAGCTATAGAACCTTTTGGAAATAATAGATTCACATAAAACCAAGCTCAAATTCTAGAGCATGGCTCACTCTTACATGTATTATAGTACCTCTGACATCATGCAGAGGGTGGATGTTATGAATTGAAGCACATTAAAATATTTCTGTTGATCACTCTGCTGCTCAGTTCTATTTCTTAATAGTCCAGGATTCTTGAACTAAGGGAGAAAAATACATATTCACTAAATACTGCATGTTGAGGACAGCCTGGGTAACAGTGAGAACCTATAGCTAAAAAACGTAATGACAATAATTAGACAAATTAGGCAGTTAGACACATTTGAAGAAAGCACTAGGGAAAGTTTTCAGGACAACTTGGCATTATTACTTTATTTAGTCTCTCTCACTACTGATATATAACCACAAGTTTTTTTAATCAAATAATTTTTTGACAGACACAGTGACAAGTGATTATAGGGATTACAGAATGAAAAAAGGTTTTGTTCATGGGCCAGTCTAATTTTTAAAAAGCAGTATAAATTTTTAGTCACCTAGTTTAGCCAGGAGGTAATGTTGCCAAACCTATAACCCTCAAACATCGGAGATCTCAAGTTTAAGCCAATAAAAATTCCATCTATGTCTTAAACTTACACCTTCAAAGCAAATTTTAAAATAGCATTTCAGAATATCCAGGATTAATTTATTTTTTTCCACTCTTTTTTCTTGTCATATATCACCTTGCTATTCAGAAGGTGATTCATGGACTAGCAATCTTATCATCTGAGGGATGTCAGAAATGGAGAATCTTGGGGTGTAACCTAAGACCTGCCTTCTCAAAATCTGCATTCTAACAAGATTTCCAGATGATTTGTATGCTACGCATTAAAGTTGGAAGTGTCTGTACTATGAGAAATAAAAATATCTTCTAATTTAACACATGAAGTATAAGATTTCTTTGAAGGACGATGAAATTGTCCTGGAATTAGATATTGGTGATGGCTGTACAACTTTAGGGATGTATTAAACAATAGTGCATTGTACAGCTTAAATGGGGGAATTGTATGGTACGGAATTATGTCTTGAACTTTTAAAAAGAAAACCATATACATAATTGTAAAAGGTCTTAACTTGCACAGCACAAAGATGAATGAAACCAGTTCTAACTATTTTCCTTTATCTTTGAGAAAAGTTAGATGCTCCCTTTACTGGGGCTCACCTCTTTTAGGTGCTCCCTTTACTGGGGCTCACCTCTTACTTCAGAAGGGCACCGCAGGCCTTGAGACTGGGCAGCCCTGACACAGCACCCAGCACCTATGGGGACCGGAATACCTCCCATACCCAACCTAAAGCTTTTATAGAGTTGAGAACCTCGGGAAACCCGCCTGCGGGTGGATGTGACAAGTCAGGAAACTTAACTACTCAATCACCCAAAGGGGCAATGGGACAGAAATGCTATCTGCCCGCTGCACATGTCGTCACAGCAGTGTTGGGGAAGCAGAGTCTTTTCTTCTGGAGTCCACTCTGCTTACTCCCTACCTCCCCTCCCGTCACCCACCCAGCCACAAGAAAAAAATACCCTAGATTCATAAACAAAAGCTTGTAGTTACCCATAGCCCAACACAAACGACCCCGACACCCTCACTTTTACAGCCCGTGAGTCTCCCAGCCCACGCCCCTAACAGCCTCGTCTCCCCAGACGCCCCTGGTAAAAAGCTGCGCGCCGCCGGTGGAGAGGCCTATTGGTTCTACTTCTGTCTTCACCCCAAGGCCCCAGGAGCGGGGAGAGGTCCTGGTCTAACTTTGGCTGTCCCACGGTCCAAGGACTTGAGCGCTCAGCCCGAAACGCTAAGCCAAGCGTGGAGACCGCCGCTGGGCGCACGAGTTCAGGAGTTACCCGCACGCACCCAGGCGGCTCCAGCCCTTGGAGTTCTAGTCATCTCTCTCACGGAAGCTAAGAGTCACCCGAGCGCACATCTGAATCAGCCCCGTGTTCAGATCACGCCTGTTACGCAGCGATCCTGTCTCTTGGAGAGCACAGGATGAACGGGTCTGGAGAAATCGACCACCCATCTGATCACCTGCAATGGTGTTGGTACTCTGCGGTCTCACTCTCGTGGGCAAACATATCCATGGGTACCTACGAGGAGCAAACCTAGACACCTCCTTCCCCCAATTCCCCGCGCGCCCCTCCACTCACTCAGGTCCCAGCCCTGGCTCTCGCTGACCTCCCAGCACCGTCCTAGGAGGTACACACGCGGGTTCAGAACGCGCGCGGACCGGGCTCGGCCACTCCTGCTAGTGCACAGCCTCCCTCCGCGCAGCCCGCGCCCTATCCGCCCCGCGTCGCCGGCACTCACAAGCAGGGGTAGTAGCCGTAGCAAGGCAGCGGGGCTTGCGGGCAGCCGTCGTCTCCCAGCTCCGAGTCCATGAGCAGATAGTCCTGGCTCTCGTTGCGCCGCGCACTGGCTCCGACAGCGCCCCGGGGAGAACCGCCCCTCCGGGGACCGAACGCCGGGCTCTGGCTCATGGCGGGAACGCCCGACTGGCCTGGGTCCCGCTCCCGGGGGAGCCGAGTGGGCAGTCCCAGCGGGCACCCGGTGCCGAGGGCGCGCGTCAGCGGCTGAACTGGTCCTGGGCAGACCGGTGCCCAGGGAACGGCGAAGAGGCAGGGGGTGCAGCCGCCCGCCTCAAGTGGCTCGCCCACTGGCCCGGGGAGAAATCACCACTTAAGGGGGTGCAAAGGGGACCTTGACCCGAGCGGGTCAGGCCAAGGAGACCCGGCGAGGATGCGTCCGGGACTCCCGGGCAGAGAGGGCACAGGCGGGGCCGCTGGTGGTAGCGAAGCGTAAGAGCGGAGAGCAAGGGAGACAGCTGAAGAGTTACTATGTCAACAGAGACTCTCCAGCCCTCAGCTCCCGCCTTCATCCCCCGGCATTCTCCGTAAAGATCCCCACCTTTAAAGGGATCCGAGCGACGTTCTAGAAAACAGCCAAAGCCTGTGCTGTAGCCACAACTTTCAGGAGGCGGTATAAGCCTGAATTAGGAGGAGCCAGGCACGCACTATTTTTTTCCCCTCTACTATTTAGTTGGCTTATTTAGTAAGGATACTAACTGCGGACTTTCTAGGAAGCTTCCTTTAAGTATCACTCTCGAAAAGCCAGGGAAACCTGTTCCTTAAAAGGGACATGAGCCTCTTCTTTCTCCAGACTGCCTTCATTTTCTTTGGGCATTTTCTCTCTTACTCTCAACTCCTAAAGTTATTATGACTCTGCTTTAAAAATGAACTTTTTATGTTCCCAACGTCAGATGTTCCCAGTTCCTGAGAAAATCAACAAAAATAGGCAAGCATTTTCCAATGATACCGATAAAGAGGCCAACAACCTGCTTACTTCAGAGAAAAAAATTTCCCTTCCATCACTGCGAATGCCACAATGATTTCTCTGCCAGATGTTTCCCACGTTTCCAAGCTGTTTTTATTTTTAAGACTTAGTTTTAAAGTCTGATTAATATGCACACGTGTGAGAAGTAAAAACTTGTCAACAAGGATGAATCAGTATTTGTAGACCTTCAAGCAGTAGTAGCCAATTAAGAATCCATTCATTCAGTCAACAAATATTTAATGAATGCCAACTGCGTTTCAAATCATTTCAGAATTCGGAGGCAAACAAGCAGATGAGGCACCTGTCTGCCCTCATAGAGCTTTCATGGCAGAAAGGGGGACCAATTAAATAAGCAAATGAAAAAATATCAAGGACAAATGCTGCAATGAAAACAAAACAGGTTGATGTGATGGAAGCTGGTGAATGACTACTTCAGATGAGATGGTTAAAAGAGGCCCCTCCAAGGAGGTGCTCCTTGAGACGTGCATGGCAAGCAGCCAGCCATGAAAAGATCAGAGGCCCATTGCAATTGGATGAAAGAAAGCCAGACCGAAATCTGTCTGCAAAGGTGCCTTTGCTTCCCATGAACAGGTGGACAACAAGATGAATGTTGGAAGTGTGGGAAAAAGCAATTGATTTGATAGAGGGGAAAAGAGGCCACACATTTAGAAACTTCTGAGTTTGCCTTTAAATTTAAAACTGAAACTCAGAGCAGAAGCCACTGGGTCCTGAGGATCCAGCTTTGTATTTGACACAGGTGTGTAGGGTGCATGCCTGCCTGCATGGGTGGGTGGGTGGGTGGGTGGATGGATGGATGGATGGAAGGAATATAGAAACAATAAGAAAATGCTCTTGGCCCTGGAAAGAACATTTTTCCTGGGGAAACAAACAACCCCCGTATCATTCTGAAGTCTGTTCTTTCTGATTTAAGTTAGAGTCTTCCTTTTTGATCTCTCAACATGTGGAGCCATGATTTAAAATTCGTACAATTTTCTAGTTTTTATGCCTAGCAATAAGATATTCTGCCTAATATTTGTTTGTGGCAACTGCTATCTGTAAGTATTCATAGGCTTTGATGCTTGAATGAATTAGTCAATAAATGTTAAGTTAAACAGTGCCAAGGTAATCTCTTTGGCAACACCAAGTATGGGGAAAACATTCATGGGAAAAGTAATATTCAAAGGTTTTCTACCCAATTCAAATTCTGTGAGCTAAAGCCAAATTAGTAAACACTTGTAGTGTCAGTTGAAGTGTTAACCTTTCATGTAAAAGGAAAAAAACAAAAATTGAGACAATTTATTTTGCTGTTGTTACAGTTAGTTGAGCTGTTTGTGCCTTTTCTCATAACACTGTTTTTCATTCACAGGTAACAACCTTCACACTGAAAAAATTACTACAGTAAACTTTTATTCTGACATGAATTTATCATGTGGGAAGATAAGACATGTTTTTCTCTGTTTTTTTTTTTTTTGAAGTATAGTGAGTACCGGACCAACAAGCCCAGGCATTTATTGAGTACCCAGAAGGAATAAGGTGGTGTACAAATGTTAGAAGATTCTGAAAGAGCTTATGACATGATGAAGTGGAATCATTCGATCAGAAGTCTCAAAGCCTGGATTTTTATTTCGGCCACTTCCCTAACTGAAGTTGCATGATTTCAGAGAGGTCATTAAATCTCTCTCTGCCTCAGTTTTTTCATCAATAAGCTGGTACACAATTACACCTCAATCTCTAACTTCCTGCATTCTGTAGTTACCTATGCAGTTTTATCACTTTACATTAAAAACATGGTGAAACTAATTTTTTAAAAAGACCAAATATGATTAAATAATGTATTTTTGAATCAAGTATGGAAGTATTGAGTAGATCTGGAGTCATGAAGAAAGCTGAGTGAACAAAGAAACGATAATTTTTAAAGTTAAAAAAATTGTTGGGTGAATGCAACTGATAGTTCTTACAGAGTTGGAAGTTGCTATGCAATTATAGGTTATGTAAGTTTATATAGTATGTTTATGCCATTGAAATAAAAAAAACATTCATTCATTCTGAGAAATGAGGATGAAGGTGAGTTATGTGTCTCTATGGGCGGAGGAAGAGATGTTACTGAGAGAGGACCTTTGCCTCATTATACATCTGCACTGTTTGATTAATAGTTTGATTTTGCAAAAATTGATACTTTACATATATACATGTGGGATATATATATATATTATGTGTATATATATTATACACATAATATATGTAACACAGTGTTTTGAAAAGCTGATAGAAGAAAAATGAGTAAAGAAAAAGGGTTGTCCTCTAGAACAGTGGTCCCCAAATTTTTTTGGCACCAGGGACTGGTTTCGTGGAAGACAATTTTTCCACAGACCTGTGGGGTGGGATGGATGGTTTGAAGATTATTTCAGTACATTAAATTTATTGTGCACTTTATTTCTATTAAAATTACATTGCATTAATTTAATTTAATGCATCGCAAAATTTAATTACATTAAAATTACAACAAATATATAATGAAATAATTATACAACTCACCATAATGTAGACTTGATTGGATCCCTGAGCTTGTTTTCCTGCAACTAGGTGGTACCATCTGGTGGTGATGGGAGACAGTGACAGATCATCAGGCATTAGATTCTTGTAAGGAGCACACAACCTAGATTCTCACGTGCATGGTTCACAATAGGGTTCATGCTCCTAGGAGAATCTAATACCTCCACTGATCTCACAGGAGGCAAAGCTCAGGCGGTAATGCAAGTGATGGGAAAAAGCTGTAAATACCAAATACAGGTGAAGCTTTGCTGGCCTGCCCACTGCTCACCTCCTGCTGTGTGGCCCAGATCCTAATAGGCCACAGATGGATAGCAGTCCATAGCCGGGGGTTGGGGACCGCTGTTCTAGGAAGTCTCAGGCAAGGAACCTAAAGGGAAAGGAAAATAAATTGCCACCAGGAGCAAAAGGTTGAGAAAACATTAAATGCTTAATGACTCAAGAAGCTCAAAAGTTACACAAACCTGCAGTTTGTGAGTTGCTGTTGCTGATGGAAAACCACTAACATAGGAGTCTCTCTGGGAAATATACTTCTGGTTGTCCAGAAGTACAGATAAAAGTTTAGTCACGATTTCATCTGGATATTTTAAAGCATGGAAACCCTGAGCCCTGATTCCTATCACGTGTAGAATTGACCAGGTGAAAACAGAAACACCTCAGAAGCTTCAGAGGGGCTGCTGATTCTCTATGAATGAAAGTGCTCTGCAAACTCCAGTTTGAGTAAAATCTGAGCAGGTGCTGCTATATCTTTGAACCTCAATTTCTTAATGTTTAAAATAAAGAGGTTATAGTAATTTACATTTGGTATCTCTCTTGCAGCTAAAATGTTATGTTATTAATCATCAGAAACAAATAGAAGAATCTGTGAATTGCTAATTTCATTTTTGCTCTAATTTGAGCTTGACATAGATGTTGTCCAAAATTCTGACATTGTCATATGCCTATTTTGTAAGCACTTGTGATTAATATGGTTTCACTTAGAGAACAATTGTGTGATATGTTTGTCAGCGCGATTGAAAAATAAGAACTGGGTAACAAAGGAATGATTCATAAATAGTTAGAAGACCGTTGAAAAGATTGTTGATTTATAGATCAATGTCACCCAAGTTAAATAAATGAAGACATATCAAGAATGGACTGAGCTGCTTTTGGTTTTTTGTTTTATTTTGTTTTTGCCTTGTTTTGTTTTGGTTTTTTTTTTCACTGAACATGTTCAAACACAACCTGGACCTCAATTTTCCACATATACTACAAAGGAAAGTAATATATTTATGGAAAATTAAATGAACACTAAGGTCCTTTAAGAAAAAGTCTAAAATTCAAAAACTAATCATCATCTCCATGGATCTAAAAAGTTGATAATATTTAATATCTATTCTTCATTTTTGTAAAAGAAAATAAGAAAAAGCTTAGTAAACTAAGAGTAACAGACAAATTTTTAACATGGTGAAGAAAACTATTTTAGATAAAAACAACATGGAGAAACACCAGAGATGTTTCCATTAATGTAAGAAATCAAAGATGTTTGTCATTATCATTACTATTTTACATAGCTAAGAACTTCAACAATAAGTAAAATAAAACGTGATAAAAAATGAGATGAAAAAGTTTGAAATGAGAACATATATCTATTACTTTACAGGTTATCTAATAGTCTACTATAAAAAATTCAAGATTTTTAACGAAAAATAGTTAGATTCAGAAGTTAGAAATGTGTTTGGTACAGTACCAGATAATAAAAGTAAATATTAAAAATTCAGCAGTTTTCCCTTATATTAGCAATAGCTAACCAAAATATAATAAAAGCCATAAAATATAAAGTAGAAATATATTTAACAGAGAATTGTAAAACCTATGAAAAGAAAATTCTAAATCTTCACTAAGACCTAATTGAAAAATAATCAAAGGTCTGTATCAAATTATATAATACATTTTATTGATAGTTTCATTATACTTGTATTAAATTTATACATTTAGTTAGAATGTAGTAGTTTCAATACTTATGTCT